TGTGTCGATGGTTTGAAAAATACTGTAACTTAACAAAGTATCCTGTAAGTTACACAATTGCACCAGGTGGCGACAATGACTTTTGAATAAGCTAAAACCTTTTTACAGTCTATGGCTAAAACCAGCTGAACAAGTTTATAAATAAAAAAACATATATCTATTATTTAACAGTTGAGATAGTTATTCAATGGTGATCTAACCAGCATAAGACATTTTGCAAGTGGGGCATGTTGTCACATGGAGTTAACATGAGCCCCCATTAGAACATTAAATATTCTGTTCTATAATTTTATGAAATCTATTGTTCTATACAGACTTGAGAATCAATGTTTAGAAATGATTCATTTTTATTACGGTTTGAATATGCTCTCTAGCTGTGTTTTTGTTGTCAAACTCAATAATTAGTTTATTTTTAAAAAATGCCATTATTTTAAATGAAAAACTTATTAATTCTGTATTATTGAGAAAATATTTTAGTTTATCTTATATTTTTTCTACTAGATCAGATAATAGTTTAAGCTGCTATATGGTCATGTTGAACCCCAGCTCCTATGGGGCATGTTGTCACATCGCACTTCTATTCTTCCAGGGTAAATAAAGAAAAAAAAGTATACATTTACATTTTTTTTATGATTGCTATGATAGATTTTTCAATACTTTTAACAATTTTCCAAAACTCTTAACACAGTTAGTACTACATCCGTCTGCAAGCTATACTACTAACACATTTCTTATTGCTTTAACACAAAATGCATACATAACACAGATTTAAAATGCTTGAACTTCTTTTACACACAAGCTCAAACAAGACCAAAACAATGGAAGTTTACTGCCAAATTTACCAATGCTTTAACACTGTATGTCAGAACAGATAATGTACTAAACCTAACCTTATGCTGAAGTCAAGCTGTTCATATTGTAAATTGAAACACAAATATATCCCCTGTATTTTATTCTATTGTTACAGATAGCTGATCGAATAATGCAAATATGGGACAATGTGGCATTTCACAATTCCAGTGTAGTCACAAACTGGTTTAATCCCATCAGAGGATTGAATTGTTTATTGATCCAACAATCAGCTATCTCATATTCATATGAGTGCTGTTCTTCCTGTGGTCAAAAAGCACTATTACATATCAATTTTTTACAAAATAAACATACATTCATACAACAAAACTAACCATAAACCATACAACAGACATCCATAATCAAAAACATTTAGTAGAAGATGAACTGAAAAATATTCCTTAATTTAAGTTGGTTAAATTTTAAATCATGAACTAAGAACTAAGAGCCCACTTATACTTAGGTCACAATCTTTCACTTACATAACACATTCTTTAACAAAACAGAAAAAATAAATAAAAAAAATAAGAAATCATATACAAACTTGAGTAAATAAATACAATTTCAGTTTAATTTTAAAGACCCTCTTACTAGCTTCATTCACCAAAAAACTAGGTAATGAATTCCATGCTACCATGGCCCTATAGTGTAATGTTCTCTGACCAGCTCATATTCTATAACCAGGCAAGATAAATTTTCCTACTGATGACTGACGTGTAACATGATCATGTCCATCCTGGGAAAACTTAAAATTATTCAATAAAATAACAGGAGTCCTTGTTGTTATAACATTTCTTGCAAAACCAAGAAGAGAATAATGTAACCTACTTTTAACTGGTAACCAGTTTAACATATTCAACATATCACAAACTCTAGTTCTATATGAACAATTAAGCACTATACGGGCAGCTTTGTTTTGTGCCACCTGTAATCGATTAAGATTATATTCTGATGTATTGGACCATATAACTGAACAATAATCTATTGTTTATCTGATTTGTCCAGGATATACGGCTATCAATCAATACACCAAGTAACTTAACTTCTGTAACCTGTTCTATTTCTATATCATCTAGTTTTAATTGTAATAATGGCTCTACTCTGCCTACCCTCTTAGAGCATAATACACTACATTTAGTTTTTTCTATATTAAGTACCAATTTATTTACATTTACCCATCTCCTAATAGGCACTAACTCTTCATTTAGAGCCTCTTCAAGCTCTCTTGCTGTAGACGCTGATGAATATATGGTAGAATCATCTGCGTATAGCAATGGACGCATTGTTTAAAACTAAAGGTAAATCATTAGTAAATATTGAAAATAAAAGCGGCCCCAAACCACTTCCCTGTGGCACTCCACAACTCATAACTCTCATTTCTGAGAAACCTCCATTGAAATATACACAATATTTTCTATTGGTAAGATAACTATCAATCCATGCAACAGAATCCCTGTCAAAACCATAACAGTGCAATTTTTTAGTTAACAATTTATGATCCAGAATATCAAAAGCAGCACTGAAATCTAGTAAAACAGAGCCAACTATCTTTCCTGCATCAATTTCTTTCAGCCATTCATCATTCATTTGTGTTAACGCTGTAGCTGTAGAATATCCCTTCCTATAGGCACGTTGATGAGCTGTGGTCAAGTCATTTATACAAAAATAGTTTTGAATTTGCGCATATACTATTCTTTCCATAATTTTACTTAGGGTGGGTAATATACTTATCGGCCTACTATTCTTCCCTGAAAAATTCTCTTTGTGATTTTTAGGCAATGGGATTATTTTTGCAATTTTCCACTGAGCTGGGCACACAGAGGATGATGTCCCCTTTCCTTGCCCATTACTCCCCTTTCCATTTCTCAGCCTGGAGATGGAAGGTTTTTGACCATCGTCCTCAGGGCCAAATGTCCTACCTGGATGCAACGCTGCATGCCAAGACATCCCAGCTGAACACTGCCAGAGGTACTGTAAATAAGGAATGCCAAATAATTCTTCCCAAGAAGCCATACCAGAGAAGTGGATGTGAACATGTGGCCAAATGTAGAATACCGAGATGATTAGAAGATGGCTTTTTCTGTTTGTATAGTTTGTATTTTCACCTACAGTAATAAATGGCAGCTATTGCATATTTTTGTCATCTTGCAGAAATATCCTGTTGCAAATAAAGCCTTTACTGCACCAATTCTGTCTCTGTCTTCATTTTTTCATAAACCGTAGGCTACATTCTACACTGCTATTCTGAGAAGGGTCATTCTTTTTTTTGTATTGAATTTCTACAGCAAAGGAAACAAAATGCGCACATTTGCTAAACCCAAACAAAACTGTAGAGAGGCTTCAAAAAAACTGCAGTGCAAAACAATCTATGATCAATAAAATACTGTCTATTATATAAGGGCATATACCGGACATATATAAAATAATGCAGTTTCTGTTATTCCATCTTAGATTAGTGTTTTTATGACATTGTGATATATGATTGACTATATGTCCCTGTTGGAAGAGAATGTGTTAGTGTTTTGATAGACATAGTGTGTGCTAGTGTATTATTGTTTTTTTTTTTAGTTTAGTTTTTACAGTGCGTGATTTTGAGCATGACATTAACCATTTTGCCAATTGTGTGTTGTTGCGTTAAGATTTTAGGAAATTTGTTTAAAGTTTTGAAATACTTTCAATATTGAGCGATTGTAAAAAAACTGTAAAATACAGTAAGAAAATAATTTTGGATAACATACTTGAGTTGAAATTAAAATTTCCATTAAAATTATCATTTTATTTAGTATACTAGTCAATACATAAACATAACTGTACTTATCCAAAACATAAAATCATAACTATTTTTAATTTATGTTCAGAGGTGGGTAATACCAACCCGGTCTCATCCCAAGACGTCATATAACTGACGTTTTGGGACGTCTTTTGACCATACGTCAATATTCGCCTTTTTAGGGCCCCCTTAAACGTCGGTAGATGAGATTATGGGATCCTAACTCTACCCCATACCTAAACCTAACCCTAAACCTGACTGACGTTAAAGGTAAAGCGTCAGTTGTATGACGGCCCGGGATCGCCATCTACCGACGTTTAAGGGGGCCCTAAAAAGGCGGATATTGACGTATGGTCAAAATACGTCCCAAAACGTCAGTTATATGACTTTTTGGGATGAGACTGTGTTAGTAATACAGGGGTCAAAGAGCAAAAGTCCTGTCCTATGTTTATTCCACCCATAAACTCAGTCATCTGATTTCACTAATTAGTTCTGTCTTCTGTCTGAATTAGCAAATCCAGGTGTTTGGAAAAAAATTACTGAGGAGGACTTTTACTTTCTAAACCTGGACTTGACACCTCTGCATAGCAATATCACATGTCAGCCAAGAGCAACGAAATAAACCAGAACTGGATCTTATAGCCAAAATAAATATGTGTAACTATAGAGTAATTTCAGCCACAGTCTTAGATGAAATCAACTGAAGAGAAAAAAAGAATAACATTAAAAGAAGACATTAAATCTGAGGATCACAACAGAGGAGGTTTAAACAACTGCACAAACAGCATTACCAGCTTCACTTATTACTAACCAGACTGACTTTATTTCTGTCAGACGTCTACAAAAGATTAATTGAGAATTAACAGAGGTTTAACTCTGTTTCATTTGAAGTCACTAAAACAGTGGTCAGTGTTTTCTCTTTTTAATTATATTATATTATCTGTGCACTTTGCACTTTTCAAAAAGTATACCTTTATGATTTTAAGCGCACAAAAAGTACACTTTCAATACAATTAAGCACACTTCTTTTTCACAAAGGCATGCAGTACTTGTTCACATGAGTTTTTACTGTTTTATTATGACGTTAGAAGAGTAGGCCTAATCTCTTGGTATGTGCACACAAATGCTCATTTGAATGACTTTAGATATACAGGAAATTTCAGTTGTGCAAATGACAATATTTGTTTTCTCTTGCCTGTATGTTTTATTTAAAGATTGTTCACAGACAGTAAGAGAAGTTTTTTTTTTTTTTTTTTTTTGTTCTTACCCAATGTTGTATGGACCTTTTGCGCTTCCTTGCTTGGTGTTGTTCATTCACATTGTCTCATTTTCACAGACCATTAACTTTTACCCGAACCAGTTTTCTGACAAGAAAAGCAACACTAAGTTTTTTATCCTTTCATTGAAGTGACTGACACGTCCCACAAACCTTTACCTGCTTTCTTGTTGGCAAACAGAAAATACAAGCTTGATGAAGCCTCGACATACAGGTATCTGTTTTCGTTATAAATATACTATTCATCTTTATTATGCAAAATGTACCATGAATGTGAGATGATGAGTTTACACTAAATTATGAGTTTAATTAATATATGAGCTGCAGTAACAGTGAGTTCTTTAATCCAAATAAGGGAGAAGCATCCAAATAAGAAGCTAAATGCTTAAACCTGTAACCCACCGCAGGTTTGAAGGTAAAGCTCTACTGTTTATTAATTTAAACATTCAGTTCAATGCAGTTAACAGAAATCTGTTTAACAAAAATGTGCACAAACAATAGAGAACGAGTATGGTGTTTTTCAGATTCTGTCCAACTGAACTGAGACTGAAGTCTTTAACTGAAAGATAAACTGGCAGATGTTAAGAGTCCGAGATGATCAAATGAAAAGAGATCACGCTTGAAAGAAAGAGACGGAGAACAGAAGAGAATATCAACATGGCCAGCAGAGACGGCATAGGTGAGAATCACAAAAAAAAAAAAACTTTTTTCAATGTTGTTGACCAAATAAGCAAGCTAAAAAGGAAATTTTAATCTAGTTTCTAAACTGCACTCACTTTAAAAAAAATTTTTTTTTGCCTATTTTTATTTCCTTAAGACAAAACACTGACAAGTTGTATTTTGACAAGTTTAGCAAAATACCCAGCTAACAGGGAATGTTCTCATAACTTTGGGTCATGTTCTGTCAAAGTTCTCTGAAAAATTATAAACAAACAATCTTCCAGTAACATTACATTCGTTCAATATTATCTTATATTAATGTTCTTAAAAGGTTAGCACAAAGACGTTATTGATAAACCAAAAAATTCTGTTATGTAATGTCCTTTGTTGGTTGAAAACACTCCCTTTCAGTCAGTCACGCTCGACGAATTGGGATTGGGTCAGAGAGCCCCAATCATCTTCGAGTGTAAACAAAACGAGCTAATGATCATTGGCGTGCAAGATTTGCATGGGTGAGCTCCGTACGGCAACCGACAACATCTTAAAGTCCCTGTAAAGGCAATTCTACAAAAAAGTTCTAAACACATTATAAATGTTACATATGTATTGCTAAATCAAACCCATGTGGACCTCACAAGGATGTGCTGGCTGGGCTAACTCACTTCTTCACAATACCTCAACCGCTGTGTGTATGTTGGCCCATACTCATGTGTGTGTGACAAAGAGAGCAGAGGTTTCTGGTTTGCAGCACCACAGCCCGTTTAATATTATTCTAGATGGATTACAAACTAAACCAATTACGTTACCTGTTTGTGTTTAGAAACCTGTCGAAATCAATCAATGGTTTTGTTTTGAAAGAGAAAAAAACATTGTTGGACTCGGTTGAGACCAACTAGAACATTTGGCGAGACCAATGACCAAACTCGAGACAAGTCCGAGTGAAAATACCAATGAGTCCAAAACAAACCCGAGACAATAGAAAAACGTCTCAAATCAGACTCGAATACTATAGCACTGCATTACATCTATGTCCCCTCCTTCAAGGAATAAAGGTTACATACAGTACCGTGACGTTCGTAGAACACAATTCTTGCAACATTCTTTAACTATTTAGAATGACAACTACCTTTCAGTGAAGTCAGGCTCTGTTTGCTGTTTTAAAAGAACATTCTTGGAATGTAGCCTGTCCCATAGTTATTGTTTCTGACTTATTGTTTCTCTTAAACTTACGTAAAAGTGCACATGTTGGAATTAAACTCTTTCAAAAGAATGTTCATGTAAACACTATATATTGTCATTTGGTGATTGCTCACATTATGTTGGTAGAAGACATCAGTTTAACAATATTCTTTGAATATCATTTAAATATTAAAGATTAATAACTTTAACAACTGTTTAAAATGGCTAAAGGTTGGATGTTTATGTCCACACTAAAGAGTGTTAGACTGAAACCATACTGGAGTTTATTAGATAATTAAGTGATGATTAATAATTAAGTGATGATGATGATGACACACTGAAGGAAACTGGAACAAACATTTGAAGTCACCATCAATAAATACAGCTGCAAGCAGCAATTATCGGGGTCAAGTGGAAGAAGCCGATAAGACATGACAACATAACGTGTCAGACAACTGCTACAATGAGCAATTACAGACTTTTTTTTTAAAGATGAATTAGGCAAAACGGGTGAAAAAAATCATATAGTCAATAATAATAATAATTAAAGCTGCAAGCAGCATTTATCGGTGTTCAGGTCTTTAAGGCATTTAAGCACAAAAGCATTAAAAGACATTAAGTTGTGTGTAGCAGGCAGGATTTATCATGATATACTACATTTCAGCTTGATATTACATAATTAACCATGTTCCAATATGATTTATCATAATTTACCATGTTAAAATGTGATTTACTACAGTTTAGTTCACACACTCATTTTCAACTTCAGGATAATAGTCATTTTTTACTAAATGTGGTTGTAAATGTTAAAAGATTGAATTGATAAAGTTATACTATGAATAATAGTTGAGTATTGTGAAAAAAAAAAAAAATTTAAACAGCAGTGGGCAGTACAATACCACTCATTGGCCACCTATAATCCGATCCTCATGGAACTTTGCGGAGGAACTTTGGTTGCTGTAGCGCCACCTATCCACCTATGCACCTATGCACCTCGTACTCTGATAGCTTTGAGATATACAAATCCCAGATATACATCTTGTCCGCCTTGAGCCAGGGATTACAGTGGTGTAAAAACATTGAAGCTAAGTCAAACGGTCTTGGAGTTATGAGCAATTTAGTACTTTTGGTTGCTGTAGCGCCACCTATGGGCCAATCGAGCTCATACTCTGATAGCTTCTCCACAATTTGAGGCCCTACCATCTGACAAAGTTTCAGAGCTCCAGCCCTTACGGTTTGGGCTGCACGATGCATTTTAGGGGATTTTTTTTTTCTTTCCAGCAAATACAATAGGTTTTCAGCACTTCGTGCCTGAACACCTTATAATGAGAGACCTTTTTGACGATTGTAGCGCCACCTATGATCCGATCCTCACGAAACTTTGCATGCTTCCTAACCATGTTAGGACACATATGCTCGTCGATTTTTGTGAAGTTGTGACTTTTTTTTTGGGGGGGGGGGGGGGGGGGTTTAGGGGCTTTTGACTGAATTTTGCCATAGACCACTATCTAAATGACCCTGTTACAGCCAACCAAATGCAAAATTTCAACTTTTTTTCGATAATTATTGATCTAGAGAGTCCAGAGAATAGGCCTAGACTGGTTTGGTCAAATGGTCTTGGAGTTATGAGCAATTTAGTACTTTTGGTTGCTGTAGCGCCACCTATGGGCCAATCGGGCTCATACTCTGATAGCTTCTCCACAATTTGAGGCCCTACCATCTGACAAAGTTTCAGAGCTCCAGCCCTTACGGTTTGGGCTGCACGATGCGTTTTAGGGGATTTTTTTTTCTTTCTAGCAAATACAATAGGTTTTCAGCACTTCGTGCCTGAACACCTAATAATAATATGATTTGGTCTGTCACTTTTGACCAGGGGCACGGCCAGAGAATTTTTGCACCGCCCATGGTTTTGACCAAGAGGTGGTGCAGTTATGAAATTGATCTGGTATAGAAAACAGATTAGTTGTGCTCTGGACCTTTGATTGTTTTATTTGATTTTTTCCCAGCCACTTTAATAGTATGTTTAGAAAGTTGATAGTTGAATGTCAGAGAAAGTTGAGATATAACGTGAATTAGGGTGACCACCCGTCCCGCGTAGCGCGTGCACCAGTGATGCGCGGGTTTTCAACTACCCGCCCGCAACTCGGACCGCAAAAAAAAGTTAAAAAAATATTGTACCCGACCCGCTTCCTGACCACATTTTTTAAAAGTAGTAAATGCTCATCGGAGCGTTATTGGGCCATAGACGTGTAACAACACAGCATCGCAAGAAGACGTAGGCCTGGCCTACACATAACAAAGGCAAAGCCAGTCATCATCTTTCATTATTTCAGCAAATGTCTCCCACACTTTTACTCTTTCTATTTGTGTATTTGCGGAGCTTCCACTCCACAGTCTTCACCTTTTCTCTTGCCGCCTCCATCTCTCTGCAGACTGTAGTGATCATAGACATGGCCGTTTCGTGAACGAATCGTTCTTTTGAACCGGTTCTTTTTAGTGAACCGGTCGAACCACTACACTCAGGCCCCGTCCACACTACTGCGTTTTCGTTTAAAAACGGAGACCTTTTGCTACGTTTGCACCTCCCGTCCACACTAAAACGGGAAAAACGAAGACCTAAAACGGAGAAGTTTAGAAACGCTGCAGCTGCGTTTTGCGTTTTGAATCTCCGGAGTGCGTTTTAGTGTGGACGAGACAAAACCATACAAAACGGAGAACTTTAGAAACGCTGACGCAGAGGCTGACGCTTGGCTCTATGATTGGGTGTTATCAGTCATGACGCATCCTTCCCTGATTCGTCATTCACTGTTTACACCGGCACGCGCATGCCCAGTGTTGGTGAATGGTCACGTAATCTGCGTTTTCAGTCGTTTTAATGTGGACGGAGATCGTTTCTAATACGCAGATAAAACGCTGGTGTGGACGGAGATCGTATTCGTTTTAATTCTCCGTTTTTAAACGAAAACGCAGTAGTGTGGACGGGGCCTCAATCGAACTGAATCGTTCGAAACAGTTCGCGTCTTGCGTCAGTGCTGCTGATCCACAAGTTACTAAAGTTACTCACTTTCAGACATGCCTGACAGTCCCTCCGAATCGAAATAAATCAATATCCTGAATTATATTTTACTCCAGTAACTCCAACAGTTCACTGAACCGAGACATGTTGGTGCCACTGTTGAGAGAAGTGATGAGCACGAGTAGCTGATACTGTGCATCTTGCGTACTACCGAATGCACAGGGACAGCGGTTCTCGAATCACCAGTATAGAACCGAGAACTGTTTAGACTCAGCTTGTGTGTTATCTTCGTGCCAGTTATTCAGCCAATAATGTGTAGGGCTGTATATTTCATCAAAAATTGTGTCTAGTACTATATTAATACAAATGTTTAATTGGCATCTTTTTTCAAACGACCCGACCGACCGCGACCCGAATATCATTAAAAACATTTTTGGATGACCCGTAACTGCGGGTAACCGCGGGTGACCGCAGGCACCCGCTGATTTTGAAAAACCCGCGCATCACTGGCGTGCACGCACAGCGTTTGAAGCCCAATTCATGCGTCCCGCAAAAAAGTCAATCGCTTTATATCCTCGATCCCAGGCAGCCAAACTGACATTACTTGACAGTTCAGCACGCTACTGTTGCCACACCCATGTGACCTCAGTTGTGACCATAGACATAATAAATATATAGACGCCCTATTGGCCGCTGGAGCACACGTCAACGGCGCAGCCATATTAAAGGCCAATTTATACTTCTGCGTCGAGGGTACGCCGTAGTGTACGGCGTTGGCTACGCACGTAGGCGACGCCGTTGTGAGCATTTATACTTCTGCGTTCAGGTCTTGGTTGCTCTGCAGTACTGCTCCGAAACGCTAGTTGGCGGCGGAGGGTTTTAATGTTCCACTGTGTTTAGATTCCTCACGGCTAGGTTACTACAAGCAATAGCGATTGAAAGAGAGCTGATCATGTTGGAGTTGGAGCTTATTGAGGTGGAAAAACAGTTCACTTTAGTGAAATTACTAAAACTGAAAGGCAGAAATGACAGAAGACGTCGGAGGAGATGGTACGTGTGGAAATCATAGACAGTGGTGGAAATGCGTGAGAAGGTACGTGCGGAAATGCGTAGGAGGAAATGCGATGCTACCAAGCCGACCAATCACCGATCTTGCGGTCCGCGTCGTCGCGACGTGTAGTTACATTTTTGAAGAGGTGCGCGTCAGGCGACGGCGAAGGGTACGCGGTATGGGACGCGTCTGTGCGTATTCTACGCCGTCCCTACTGAACGCACCCTACGCAGAAGTATAAATTGGCCTTTAAAGGCGGACAACTTTCTCATACTTCTCATAACGAGAATTGAGAAAAATGCCTGTTTTGTGTACTGCTTGGGGCTGTACAAATCGCCACACAATTGAAAACAGGTCTCGACGAATTAGCATTTGTTTCTGGTTGTATTTGGTCTTGATCTTGATTTGTGATCTTACAATCTACTCATCCAGCAAGCTTAATCATGCGATCATTATCAATTCCCATAGAGGAATAATTTAAGAGGCAGGAAAGGGGACTTCTGGCTGTGAAGATAACCTTTCCGTTTCACAAAAAAGCCTCTTAAAGTATTACAGCTCATAGCTAGCATCGAGAGAGAGATTTGGCAAATTCACCTACAGTTTACCCTTCTGACAACAACACGGAAAACAGTGTTAATGCTCTGAATGTTTGGTATCCCAAATATACTTGCATGGTTCTCATGGGTGCTGCATAAGGCTGCGTTCATTGATCGACTTTACAGTTCAGGGCCATGCACAGACCTTTTGAGGGGCATGTGCTGAAAGCATTTCTGAAGGATCACGTGACACTGAAGTGTACTGACTTGGAGTAATAATGCTGAAAATTCAGCTTTGACCACAGAATAAAATTACATTTTAAAATATATTCAACTAGAAAACTGATATTTTAAATTGTAAAAATATTTCACAATATTACTCTTTTTGCTTATTTTGTATAAAAAAAATTAAGCCTTGGAATTAATTAAATCATGAATTACATTCAGCATTATAAAATATAAAGATTTCACAGTGATGTTCTTTAAAGGGATACTCCACCGGGTTTTCATATTAAACTTTGTTATTCCCTTAACTAAGAAGAGTTGATACATACCTCTCTCGTCTCAGTGCGTGCACTCTATCGCTCTGTATTGCCGCAAAACTATGTTAGCACTTAGCTTAGCCCAGTGCATTAAATATGGGCCAAAAAGAGAAGCGACCAAACACTTTCTCGTTTTCCCTATTTAAACACAGTTACTCGATTAGTGTAACTCGACCTAGGCTGATGACACAAAATAAAACGTTGTGTTTTTCTAAGCGTTTAAAATTGATGACTATATTGTATGGCGGAATACCATAAAAAGTGCTTTAGAGCACTTCGACTTGGCGTAATAATACCTTCACTCGTGAAAAGTCCTCTTACCGGCTCCCGCTTGTCGCATGTCACGTTGGTTGTATTGACCCTATGGTATTGACGGAAATAAGAGGGAGGGGGAGAGGAAGCGGGAGCCGGTAAGAGGCAAATGGGCACCATCTAATGTCAGGGAATGAATTTGCATGTTCACTCGGCTCATCATCAGCGAAAATCGCTTGGGTGTGAACACGAAAAACGCGTTGAAAAACGCCGGCGATTAACGCACGCTGAAATTCGTCCTGGTGTGTACGGGCCTTCAGGCTACATGACAAAGGAGGACGGACGAAGAGATGACAGAAGAGACAGGAGAGGGCGCCCCTTTCAGCAACCTGAACCAATGAGATTCGGCAAAACAGTGGCGCAAAGGCTTTCCTTTGTCTTGTCGATCTTATTTATGGCAGGATCTGGGACTCCAGAGTCACAACAGCATTAAAATGAAATGTTAAAAATCACAGTTTTTTGTCAAAAACAGAAATAAAACCAAACATTGGTTCTGAAAATCTTTTCTCTGACATATAACATACAAATAATTAATAAATAGTTGCAAAATAACAGCATCGGCCAATCTCTAGTCACAATTAGAGACGCACATTAAAACCAAGTAGAACATCTGTCTGTCTTGCCTGAATTCTTGTGATCAGATCAACCATGCATTATGTCATTTCCAGGTGCAAACAGAGACGGTTATGAAAACGATGTGGTGAAGAACGAGGTGAAGATCTGCCCTGAAACAGATAATTCAGTTCTGGCAAGTGTTCATATAGTATAGTATAAAAACACATTCAGACTATCTGATTATAATGTTTTCATAATCTGCAGTTACATTGATAGTGTTTTGGCAAAATGCACAGAAAATTAAGTTGTTGTTAGGTTTGCCAGTGACTTACCTTGTGATTCAAATTGACTATTAAATGATTTCAAAATATAAAAACCTCAAATATCAGTTCTGTTTAAATCAGATGTTGTTTCATCTATTAAACAGAGAGAAAACAAGGATGCTGGAACTGCAGGAGTCAATGCAGATCAAGATAAAATAATGCAACTATTTCACAGAATACATCTGGAAGACAGGTGCCTAAATAAACTAAGAGCTGCAGATGTTCTTCAGATAACTGAACATTCATTACAGTCCCAAGAGTCTTGTGCTGAAGAGAAACTGAGTCAGACTTTCATACAAAAACTACTGATGATGGACTACAGAGCAAGATACATCAGTGTTAAAGAGAACAATGAACAGGATCAAATACAACAAGGAGATACTGACTCATCTGAAGATGAGGCTGATATTTTGGACTGTTTTCTTCTCAACACAACCTCTTTATCAAACACTGGACCCAGTCAGTCTGATCGCATTCACCCGATGGATGTTCAGATGGCTGTGTTTCATTGTGCTGATGGTTTCCTGAAGCAGTTGATGGTCACTAAACTGTCCCAGTGTCAGTACGCTCTGCCTCTGCTTGTTCCTGATCCATTCACACAACAGATTGAGTTTCCTCTCTGGACATTCAGACAAATCAACAAGAGCTGGATTATGAGAAACAACAACAATGAGATCATCAGTCAAACCCAGCCGGTCTACAAGGCAGAAACTCCAATGGTGTGTTTCTTCAGGTTTGGCTCTGCGTCTTCATCCAAGTCTCATCTGATGAACAGTCTGATCAATGAGAAACACAACACGTTCTTCCACAGGAACTGTCCAGGCAGCAGCAGAACCAGAGTCCTGATGGATGGAGTGGTGGAGATCGCCTGGTTCTGCCCCTCTGGGAAAAAAACAGATAAATTCACGGACTGTGTTGTGTTCTGTAATCTACACGGTGATGCAGGAGACCATGAGAAACAGCTGCAGATCCTCACTGAAATGGCCTCAGTCAATGTTGTTCTTCTACCACAACCTCAGAAAAGTGCAGAAAAGATCCAGAACCTGATCAGAATAAAAAAGCCACTTATTTGTCTCTTTACAGAGGATGATTTTACTTTAGTGAAGATGAAGAAAGGGAAATTCAAGATTGGCCTGAAAGACAGAAATCAGTCAGATGTTTCTGAAGAACTCAGAAGAGCCATAAATGATTGTCTCTCAGAATCATCTTCAACTTTCAGACTTGAAGATTTGTCCAAACACTCAGACATCAGACTAAATGAGGAAGTTGATGAAGACTGCAGGAGAGGAAGAGAAGCAGCACAGCAGATGATGAGTTTACTGAAGGATAAAGATCTGACAGAAATCAAAGACTCATTTCTGCCTCATCAGGGGAAACTGTGGCATCAGTGGAGTCAGAAGAACAAAGAACTACATCGACCTCAAGGAGAAAAGATAGAAATGGAAATAAGTAGAATAAAAACAGAAATGAAGAAAATACGTAAACAACAGTATGAATCCGACATCAGTGAGTTTATGACTCATTTCCATAAAACAATGAACTCAGATATTGAACGTGAAAGGATGTTTTTTCTCAAATGGCTCAGAGTCTTGCTGGATGAACACACATCTGCTGATCTATCTGCTCTTCATCATAAATATGATAAAAAATGGTCATCAGTTTTAAAACTGAAAGAGAACAATGAAAAATCTGAACACCTCACAACTGAACAAGCAGAACTTGAGAGAATATCTGAGGATCTTCAAGCTGCATCCTTTGGTCTGGAGCACATCATGAGGGAGATCGGTCAGATCTATGAATCATGTTCATCAATGGAGAAGAACAAGAAAGATCTGCAGGTTCACTTCTCTTCTCTCCCGAGTCTCGCAGCAGAGATGATGATCTCTGGATTTCCACTGGAGCTGATGGATGGAGATGCTGCTCATGTTCCTGTGATCTGGATCTCTGCTGTTATAGATGAACTCATCCAGAAACTGGGAGACCAAAGAGTCTTTGTGCTGTCAGTTTTAGGGCTTCAGAGCTCTGGGAAATCCACCATGCTGAACGCCATGTTTGGACTCCAGTTTGCCGTCAGTGCTGGCAGGTGCACCAGAGGAGCTTTCATGCAGCTGGTCAAAGTCTCAGACGAGATGAAGACACAGATGAACTTTGACTATATTCTGGTTGTTGATACTGAGGGTCTTCGTGCTCTAGAACTGGCTGGAAGATCAACAAGACATCATGACAATGAATTGGCCACATTTGTTGTTGGTCTTGGAAATCTGACCTTGATCAACATCTTTGGAGAAAACCTGTCTGAGATGCAGGACATTCTTCAGATTGTTGTTCAGGCCTTCCTGAGGATGAAGAAGGTCAGACTGAATCCCAGCTGTGTGTTTGTGCATCAGAACGTCTCAGACGTCACAGCTGAAGAGAAAAACATGGAGGGAAGGAGACGACTGCTGGAGAAACTGGATGAGATGACAGAGCTTGTTGCTAAAGAGGAAGACTGTGATGCAGAATGTTTCAGTGATTTCATTAGATTTGATGTACAGAATGATGTGAAGTATTTTGCTCAGCTCTGGGAGGGAAGCCCACCGATGGCACCACCAAACCCAAATTACTGCGAGAACATTCAAGAGCTAAAGAAAACTATAATGTCTCATGCCTCAAATTCACATGTGATGATGCTGAAAGACTTAAAAACTCATATTAAAGATCTCTGGGAGGCTTTACTGGATGAACAATTTGTCTTCAGCTTCAGAAATTCTCTGGAGATTTCAGCCTACAGGAAACTGGAGACCGAATACAGCAAGTGGACCTGGAGTCTTCGCAGCGCCATGATGGAAACTGAGAACAAACTACATATCCAAATAGAAAATGAAGCAATTCATGAGGTTGAAGAAACTGGTCTGCAAGAAGAACTGAAGAAGACAAAAGAAAAAGTGGAAAAATCAATGTTCGGATTCTTTGAGAAAGACAAAGATAAAGATATACTGATTCAATGGAAAACATCATTTGAAATTAAAATCAATGATCTTCAGGAAAACATTGTGAAAGAAACAAAGAGGAAATTAAATGAGGTTCTTCAGCAGCGAGACCTGAAGAAAAAGATTGATGCTCAGAGGACACATCATGAGAACGCTCTCTATGAAAAGAGCAAAGAACTTGCCTTAAAACTGAAAGATAAAGCAAATGATGAAGAAACACTGAATAAAGAGTTTGACCTGTTTTGGAAACAGTGTGTGAAGAAGATCAAGTCAGAGACTCCTGCAATCAAAGAGATTGATATAATGAGAGATGTGAGAGAGATCCTCAGTGACACCAATAAAAGTGTTTCTGTAGACCACTGGAATGAGAGCAGTGAGTGCAGGGATATCTTCTCTGTATCCAGTTATGCAGACTATCTACAGTTAAAGAAAACCAGTGGATTTAAAGAAAGTTCCCACAGAGTAGCAAAAGATATGTTTGGTTTTGCTCTACCTAAAGAGTATGACACCCAAGTGAAAACATTTGTCACAGATGTTGATCAGCAAACAGAAAAAATTATTCAGCCATATAACATTTCAAAGATGGGCTACAACAAGAGCTGCATTCAAGAACTCATAGATTATATCAAGAGAAGATTAACTGAACATCAGGACGGACCAGGTCTATATGTGTTCAAAAATGAATTCTTCATGGATTTGGTTCTTTCCATCTGTAAGAGAGCAAACACGATTATCACTGACCAACACAAATTGTTCAAGGAAGCCAATGATCCTGTAACATATGTTGAGAAGAAGAGAGAAGAGTACTATAGTATTTTCCAGAAATACTGTCATGGATCAACATCAGCTGCAATTTTTGGTGAGATCATCTGTCAGAAACTGAAAGAGTCCATTGAGAAGAGTGTCTACAAGAAGATTGCCAGAGATCTGGCTGATGAAATGACAACAAACTGTAGATCACTGAATGCAAACAGATCAAAACTGGAGAAACACATCCTGAAGACACTGGCAGAAGAGGAGGATTTTGGCAAATACATGAACTACATTGATAAACCCAGAGATCACTTCAAGAGTTTCATCAGAGATGAAGTCAGTCGGTACATCGATGATAAGTTCAGTGTCAGTGTTTTACCCAAGATGGAGAAGAACATTAAACTCCTGCAGCAGAAGATCATGGAAGCTGCACATGAATCTACTGAACATGTTCAAGAGAATAAAGGAGATGTTGGTTTGTGGTTGAAGAGTTTCACACAGCGGCTCTCAGGTGAGCTGATCTTCTCTGTAAAAGACCTCAGTGGAGTCAAACATGATGATGTTGATGTGAAACTCCTAGAAGATGTGATAAAGAAAGAACTTCCTGCTATAATATCGGACATCAGCAGAGGATTCACAAAGACTTTTCCAGTAAAGCTGGATGATGAAGAAAGACCAGATGAGCTTCTGATTGGTCACTTCTGTCAGTGCTGTTGGGTTCAGTGTCCGTTCTGTGGAGCCGTCTGCACCAACACCGTACCAAACCATGATGGAGATCACAGTGTTAAATTCCATCGAGTGGATGCAATAAATGGATGGCATAGGTGTAATACAGATGATCTCTGTGTTAATTTTTGCACAACTATAGTAACAAGTGATAAGAACTTTATTGTATCCAATAAGTCGTTTCCATATAAAAAATACAGAAGAGCAGGAGGAGTTTATGCGAAGTGGAGCATCACCCCTGATGACTCTGCACTGTCCTACTGGAAATGGTTTGTGTGCAGATTCCAGAAAGATCTGGAAAAATATCACGGGAAAACATTCCAAGGTCGTGGTGAGATTCCACCTGAATGGAGAAAGCACACACGACAAGATGCTATTCAGAGTTTGGATAATTTATGCATATCTAATAAGTCTAAATAGCAACCTCTGTGTTGTCTAATTAATTTCTTTGTTTTCTTTGTCTTTGGTTTTCACTTATAATCATTAGTCATTTATGTAGTCATCATTTTATTTACCATTTAATCATTTATTATTCATATTATTATTTGATTTACATAATTGTATCATTTATTCATATTATTATTATAATTGTGATTAATTAAAAATCATATTATTAATTTCTATCATTTTAGGTTTTTATATTTAATATTACATATTTTCCTGCTCTTGCAATGCTTGCTATTGCTATTTAATCGTATGATTGTTTGCTTTCAAGGGGTGTTTGTCTTCGTAAATAAGAGATATGTTGTGTTTCTTTTGAAATAAATAAAGGACAAATGGGGTCTTCAAACGCCTCAGATGTAAAGTTATTCGCTGTCAAAGTGACGCCAAAATGAATGGGAGTCAATGGGAATGCTAACGCAAGTGAAGTTCTGCTACAAGATGGCAGCTCCCGCGAGGCTTCAACTTCCGGTCGATGGATTACCCCCTTGAATTGCTCATAAGTAATTTCCCGGTATGTGTTGTTAGAGGGTGGAGTTTCTGATCACATGGGTGCATTGAAACAAGTCAGATGGAAATGGCACTTTCAGGATTGTGAACAAAAGGCATTCAAAACATACTTTAACTAAAACTCTGTGAAATATAATGCTATACAATGCTTTAGATCATATACAAAAGAACAATGGGAGAACACAAATATTCATAATAAACCGTATAAAGACACTTTATTTGTGAGTGTTTTATTTATACAATTTATTTGTTGAGTGTATTTTAAGCCAAGCCACTCCCACTAATCTAGAACAGCCCCTCTGAGGGATACGCCGGGATACGGATAGTGATCAGAGAAAATCACTCTTCAAGGCTAGCTACCACCAGAGCTTGAAACTCATTTCACACAAAATTTCTAGTTAGTTGGCGAACTCTTTAGTGAATTACTCCTCATTTGTACTTCTTTCGAAATGGTGAATTATTGTATGATACCAGGATGTTCAGTGGTGGAGCTAGACTTTTAAAACAGGGGTGGCAAAGGGGTGTCAATGTATTATTTTCCCGTCTCATGGAATAATGCACGACCATTCAAAAATATGACTGTGTTTTTAACGATACAAAGCTTAATGCAAATGGGTGAAGTGTCCCTTTAAGGGTGAGTTTTAGCTGGCCCGAGAGTAGAAACGCAACTTAATTTTGGCCTTTCTGCTTGAGGTCCAAGGCTATTGGCCCCCGCCAGGCGCATTGTTAGCCCTGCCTCGCACTGGCCAGACAGTGAGCTATTGACACTATAAATACCCAGCTAAAGGGGAATGTTCAGAACTTTGGCCCAACTTTGACCCTTGAATTTTTGTAAGATAATTCTCCTTAAACAATTATGATAGTGGTTTACTAAAACACTTTAAAAGTTGTCTAAGCGATGTGGGGCCAAAACATTTTTTGTCACATACATCAAACGTCTCCTCACTATCGGCTAGCTGCCTGTCCCCTAAACACACTGTAAAAAAACGCGGTCTCTGTAGACACCACAGGCTCCACAAACGGCAACAAAAACAATCATATCTCACCCGGACCACGAAACCTAACAAACAGTGTTCCAGCCAATCACTGGCAAGAAGTATCTGAGGGTGGGTCTGGGGGGTTAGTGCGCGTGCACATGAAGGGTGTGTGTGTGTGAAGGAGAGAGAAGTATCATCAGAGGGAAGTTTGAAAAATGGCCGACACACGACCAAAGAGACGTCGTTCTGAAGAACAAATTAAAAAGAAGGAGTCGGATAAAGAACGTGCGAAGTTCCGAATTTACATCGGTAGCAAAGCTTTTGAACGATGGCGAGAACTCCGGCGGCAGAAGGGCTTCCAGTCCGACATTCAGGTTGTTCTGTTTTTTCAGGTGGGTAACGTTAAAATGTTTTTTTTTTTATTATTCTAAATTGACGCTTATGTTCGCCAAACCCAAACAAGGATATAATTAGCTAGAACTATGCAGTCAGCGAAATGCACGTTCACAATTACTTCAGGAAGCACGGAAGATAGGGGAAGGAGATGAGATGCGGAGGAGGGAGGGTCTAGCTAGCCTCCGATTTGTTTGAAAATATTCCGAACGTCAACACCCAGGATCGCTTAGGCAACCTTTAAGGTTTACAGGAAAAACAGATAAGCTGACATTAAATGTTTATGACATTTGAATGAGTGTAATAAATTTTAATCACAGATTTAATGTTTTATAACTTACTCAAAGGTTGGGGTATTATTGAACTGTTATGCAACGTTGTGGTAGAAAGATCACTATAATGTATCAGTACTGTGAAATGGTAAATGTGAAGAGGAATCATGTTTTAAAACACACCATATTTTGTGCCTGGACTAAGTTGAGACACATTTAGACATTTAAACTCATCATCGAAACCTCAACAATGGTGAAAATCAACAAAATACTCAGATAATCAGATTTTGATTATCTGTACTCTATTAAACTCTGAACATCAGAGCTGCTAAAGTCACAACAACAACACAGTAACAACAAAATCTAACCAAATAGTAAGACTTACAGAAAATTATAGAACAATTCAGCTGCATAATCTATTCATGCCACAGTGCATGGGAATTTTTACTATGCTATGCATTGGCGGCATGACGTTTTTTTTTTATTTTGATTTTGAACATTGTTGAGATTCATATGCTGATTGTTAATGTCAATCAAGCTGTATATGTTTTTTTGAAAACTGATTGCTGAAACATTGCTGGATCTCAAGCTGCAGAATCACAGGGCACACTGTAAAAAATTCAATCATAAAAAACGATCAATGACTGTCAGCTACGGCTGCCAAACAAAAATCATAAAAATAAAGTAAAATATCCTATTTTATCCATTTTAGCCTATAGTTAACTAAAGTCTTCTCCCTGTTCGCCAGCCACTCAGTTTCATGTCTTTCGGGAGAAATGGACGGATTTACGTTACATTTTCTAAATGAAAGGCACGTAGCCCCAAAAAGTGTCACGTGACGCTTTATATGTCACCATGGAAATAGGAATGTTCTAGTACAATTACTGTCGCATTAACAAAATAATTTAACCAGGGACTCAATATTTTAAACTTAATGTGTAGCAAATCACGATTAATTTTCCCAATGAACAGTCATTTTTATTTTTTTTATTTTTGAATCTGCATTGCCACTCTTCAAATTCAACCAATCAGACAACATCCACTAAGTTTAAATAAATATGATAATATTATATATTATTTTAAAAGCCTTCCTGATATAAATTAGTATACATTTCATTTACTATAGTAATTAACACTAAGACAGTAATTTGTGCAAAAAGCACTAATGACTTTTTTAAGACTTGAAGCTTAAACTTGAGGACTTGCAACTTGTCTGTCTTGACTCGGGACTTTACTTGGGACTTGAATGCAAAGTCTCGAGACTTAATTGTGACTTGTAAAACAATGACTTGGTCTCATCTCTGTTTATCATAGACTTTATATAAAACAATAATCCATTTATATATAATGTAATCTTAGCTAATATATTCAGACTGTTATGTCAGAAAAAACGGTTCACCACATGATGACTATAACATCACCAATAAATGAGCCATGATCATCAGATATGTTCTCTTGCATTTTTTACCGTAATAAATGTGTATCAAAACACAGTTAAAGCAACCAGAGATAAACTACTGTTAAAAACTCAAGGGTCAAGAGCCCAACCAAACACTGATCTCAATCATGGTGACATCAATTTTTTGTCAAGTTTCTATCAAGTTTTTTACACTTTATTTAAATTTGCATATTTTACTTTAATTTTATGGTTTTTGTTTGGCAGCTGTAGCTGTCAGTCATTTGAACTCATTATTAAGATTTGTTTTACAATGACGGTATTTGATAATAATAGGGAATACCTGTAAAATAACAGTGTTTTTGGTTTATTTAATTTAGGATTTTTTACTTTAATGTTACAGTTTTTTTGGGCCGATCATTTAACCATTTTATCATTTAACTATTTTGTTACTGTTTAATCACAGATTATATTTGTAATTTTACATACATTTTTATGTAATTTAAGAAAACAGAAAACATACTGACTGAAAAATACAATCAATTTTCTGTATAAAAAAATGGGAATTACTGGAATTTGTCATTAATGTCAGAATACTTAAAATAACAGCTGCCTTTTTATTTTACAGATATTATGTGTCATTTTACAGTGTTTTGACTACAATTTAAAAATTTAAGAAAATGATAGTAAAAAAATCATAGTTATTTTCTGTAAAATTAGGATTTTTTTACAGTGTAGGGGAGATGGTGAATAACCCCCATCTAAAAAAAACAAACAAACAAACAAAAAAAAAACAGTGGCATGTTCCTCTAAATCTATGTGATTTTATGTTTTAGGGCTGCAAAGCATCAACTCCCTTCAGGTGCAATAAAGTATATATTATCTTATCTTTTGGATCCAAACTATCTACAGAATCATAATAGTTTCCCAAATGTCATGTGGTTTAGGCTATTGGAAAAAGATCATATCTGGTCTATATAATCCTGAAGGTCCCATGTTTGGTTCACTTGCATCTGCATATTGTGAGTTCACATATTCAAGGAAAAGGGTTTTATATCAA